ACAAAAAAAATAAATTCTGGTTTCACTAAAACATAAATCAGTTACTTGTATGTTAATAAACAGAGAAAATAAAATTTTACTCTCAAAATTTTCACAGATCACTGAAACTATTCCAAATTTTGGGCACCATAATTTTCAAAACAATGCCTGGATATTTTCGCCACCTTGTAGTTCCATCTTTACCGATAAGGCAGGGTATTCTTGAAGTACAAGCGGTTTCTTCAAGAATAGGTAAGTTTTGTTGATTTTCAAACTCCTCTTCAGAGTATATATCCTCAATAGTTTCTATAATATGGTCGTCTATCAAACTCACATCATCATCATCTGGTTCTGCCTCTGAATCATTTAAAACTTCCCCATGAAGCCGCAACAGCCATTCTTGTTCCCTCTCGTAATTCATTAGAAACGTATGCCCTAAAATATAATATAAATCAATACCGCAAACAAAAAATCAAAAAAATTAGTCTTACCTCAAAATGTAACGGCAACTATAACGTCGGTTTGTGGGACCGAATCGTGTATAATACTGAAAATTCTTATTAAACGATACACGCTGTCCACTTGCTAAACTATAACTGAATAGATACAAGCACGTTCGAAAGGTACTATGAGGTGCAGATTGAAATAAAAATTAGCAGCGCTTAAACCGCGAAAATTTAAATCAGTCGGTGCGAGAGACATAACGTTATCAGCCGAAGGTTAAGGCTGAAGAAGAAGAAGAAGCATAGAAAAATATACCCGATTTAATTTATTTACGACAACTATAGACACAATATGCACTATTTTATTTGTACTTTTAGTTGAAGAATAGATTAAATTATTTCAAATGTACTAAATTATTAATCTCTAAAAATTTAAATTACGGTTTTGTCGTAGCTTGTCACAAATTTCTCAATTCGAGCCTAGTTTCCGTTTAAAAGATGGCGATCGCGTACTGACAAACTTCAAAGGCGGCTTTTGAGAGTGGGCATTCAGATTGTTATTTATTATATGATGTTTAGTGCAATGTTTTAAAATTGCGAATGTGGCATTTTCAACATTTCATATTGGTGTAATGTTAACACATTTATATTCTTAATTGAAAAAGAGTAAAATTAAAATAATTTTAATGTTCTTACAAAGTTTATTACAAATCATTTAAATAAAAATTAAAGTTGTAGGATAAAATGGGAAAATTATGTTTAAAGAAATTGTCAAAATTATTTTTATGAAAGTATGTATTGCTCGAAAATTAATGTAATTAGAAACGTAAAAAACATTAATTGTGGAACTTCACGTCCTGTAGATATCTCAAGTTCTCAGTCATGACCCTCAATTGTTGTAAAATAATGGTAAATTAAAAGTTTTAAATTTTTAAATTAAACGTTATCGTTATCTTTAGTTGCGTCAGGTTCTGGGAAACAATATCCGGCAGTAATAACTGTTCGTAAAGATTGGTAATATTGGTGGTATGGTCTAGGTATTAAGTTTTGTTCACATAGTGACAAAAGATTTTTTTTCTTCGCATTTGTGACTGGGAGCCGTTCTTCGTATGCTTTAATAGGGTTTATACTATTTTGTTTGCCTCTTTTTTGTTTGATTTCAAGAGATAAAAAGTTTCCATTAATGCTAGTCTTTATGAAAAGTTATTTTCATTTTGCCGGTACTACTACCATATACCATTATTATATTTAAGATTATTATTTTCATTACTTGTTTGCTCTTCATCTTTTACTTCATATTGATTTTGCTTGTTCGTTGGTTTTATTTTATTTTATAGTGTAAATGTCACCTGTCTTTGGTTGAAATCTAAGAAGTCGTCATAAGGTAGATATGTCACTGAAAACGAGCATGACTAAGTGCGTTTAAGTCTTATAATTTGTGCCCATCCTTAAGGGTGTATACAGTGGAATTTTTTAAGTTAGATTTAATTTTTGAATGTACTGATCATCAGAGCATGATGTCTGATTAAAGATGATCAAATGTTACAAAAAAAACTTAAAACTATCTCCTGTTGACATCCTGTAGCGAAGAAGCTGACAAGAGAAACTAATAAAAAGCTTCTCGTTCACAACACTCCACGGAGACCACATTGTTCAATTTGGGAGCTTCATTGGAGGTCGGTAAAAATATAAATAATATCAACTATAGATTAAAGATAGATAGTTAAACTATAGATACGAAATAGATAACAAAATATTTTATAGTTTGACAAAGAAAACCAAGAAACACGGATTACAGCTTAACTGTACAAAAAATAGGCGCCAATTTTAACCTGAAACTCATAACGAAACTCAAGATTAAATAAACTAAATAAAAATTTCTCTCAAAGACATTAGAAAAACATTAGGAAATCATGAAAATCTGCATATTTACCCATAAGGGGTACAAAAAGATTACATATGCAGTAAAATACTTCAAAAAACATTTACGTCGTTTCTACAACAATAAAATAATAAATCTTGAAAAGTTGTTTATTAATACTAAAAAATAAATTTATTAACAAAACACATTAATAAAAAATCAGATATATATTAGACATACCGTCATCAATAGTCTTATAAATAAAACAGATTGCAGCTCTTGAAATAAAACCAACTCAAATGAACATGAAGTTTATATTAATCTCATAAAATATCACAAAAGATATTCGTTGAAAATTAATAAGATATTTCTGAAACGTAAAGCTTTTCATTTTGTTTGTGCTAAAATTTAATTACAGTAAATATAGAAATACTTCTCAGTCCTTTTTTTATGAATTAATAAATATAATACAAAGCAAAAATTATATAGATAGTAATAAAAAACTATATTACGTAATTCTTTCTAAAACAGTTCGGAACTAAACATAAAAGCAAAAAGTGGATAATAGACACATAAAAACTCAAATTCAAAGGTCAATGCCTGGTAGAATCACAGCTGCTAAAATCAAAGGAGTAGGTAGTCCTGTAGATTAAGAAAAAATGTATATTTTCCTTCTTCGTCAAAAATGTTGATAAAGGTGGTTGACAGAAAGGAGTGGTCTATGAATGTTTACCGCCAAAAAGTGAATTGCCCAATTATCGGCTCCAGAGTAGGACTCTACGGAAAGATAAAAGAAACCTTTCTATTTATTAAATTTATTTAGATTGACAAGAAATAGTTATTAACTCACTACCTAAATTGTTGCAGTTTTGATCACAACTAAACAGCAAGAAATATTGTCTATGACTATAAACATCATAGGCCATTTTCGACAGACAGCTAAGAACTCAGACTAAAATTGGGCCTGGTATTTCTTAATCTTATAACCTTCTTATAACCTTGTCAAAACTAGGGATGGGAAAAACCTACCGGTTTTAACCGAAAACCGGTTTTTTTTACTTCGGAATAACCGGTTTTATCGGTTGTTTTTGTGTCCCGGTTATAACCGGTTTTTTATTTTTAAAGTAAAAACCGGTTATTAGGTTATTAGGTTTGTTTCGATTCGGAAATCTACCGTTTAAATTTGTTATCATCACAAAAAATTTGATATTATTTTCAATACGTTTGTATTAAAATTTATTTGATACTTCCCTGTATTGTTTAAAAATTAAATACAAAGAATGAGAAATCCCGGAAATTCGTAATTGTAATTTGATCCCTAAACCATAACAATTAACATCATTGGGTATCGGCACGTATTGGTAACCATAAATTATTCACCCACTCTTAAAATTTTATGTATATATGGTAAATATTATGACCTAAATTAAATTCTGATCTGATGTGAGCCGCCTTTGGTCCCATAAAATTTGAATTATGGGTGTTTGGAATAATACGACCTAATTATTTAAGGTCTTTAACTTTTAAACAGCGTTTCTGCGATTGCCATACCAATAATCACTCTAAAATAGTTTCATTTTCATTCTTTCGTTAGTAAACATTTTAACATTTAAACCGCATATTTATAATAGAAGGCGATACTATTGGTTCTTACGTCACATATTTAAAGCATAAACGTGTTTTATTTATATAGGTAATAATGTTCTTTCGATAGTACTAATTTTGATCATATTGAAATCGAGTCGAATGAAGTATCGCAAGCTAAAGTTCATTGTTAATGTAACTTTGTAACCTATTGGATTAAAAAAACCGAAAACCGGTTTTTGGAAAAACCGGTTTTTTTTGGCCGGTTATAACCGCCAGGTTAAACCGTAAGCAAAAAAAACCGGTATAACCGAAAACCGGTGTTTTGCCAAAAACCGCCATCCCTAGTCAAAACTAATTAATTTTTGTGGAAGGAAATTGTAGTTTTGTTCTCATGAGAGAGTCTAAATTATTATATTAATTAAGGCTATGAGAGCAAGAGTGGGCTAACCCCAAATATTCAATAAAGCATTTACACGAACCAAGAATATTGCGTTTTTTTGAAATTTTATAAAATTAAAATATGATGCCAACAGGTAGTAATTGTTTATAAAGCATTAACAAATAACAAAAAACTCGAAGATTTTGCAGTAAATTTAATAAAAATATAAAAATTTAAGCTTTTTTGTGGATTAGACTGCTTTTGCATCAGTGTGCCTTAAGAAATTTAATAGGAATGTTGATTGGACCCAGAGTACAATACAATTAAACAATATAATATAAATAATATATATATATATATATATATATATATATATATATATATATTGATTCAACTATCTCTACCAGTCCCAAGATACTTAACAGACCACCTAAGACCCAGTTGAAATATAATGTTAAAAGAAGTATATATTGTATTTTTTAGGTGGTTTTATTGTATTAATTCAAGGGAACTTGAGAGGGGTAAAAAAATTAAAAAAAAAAATTTTTAAGATAGTAAACAATCTTTACCAGACCCAACAAACTTAACCGTTTTCCCAGACCCTTATATATGAAAAAGTATCATTCACTGGACGGACCCAGTCCCAGCAATGTTGCCAAATTTTTTGGCGCTAAAATGATTGGTAATGTGCGTTTTGTGGTTTACTTGTTAGTTATTAGCGGAAGTTAAAGTTCGTTATATGTTTTCCAAGATGAGCCAACGTAGTAAAATGTTAGTTCAACTAGCTCAAAATAATTTAAAGGGTAGGTGATATTATAATATAAGTGATATAATTTACTAATATTAGTGTTTTACAGATGTATATGAATTTCATAATTCAGAAGATGAAAATAATACAGGCTCTTTGACGACTGAGGTAAGCGATATTATTTTTTGACACCACTAAAAACAAATTATTAGAACCCGCTTAAATAACATACATAAATAAAGGCTTAGTTCTAAAACTTTTGACTTGGAGCACGTTTACATTAAAAAATATGTTTATGGGTTTAAGCCACAATAATTCGAATTAAAATTATATGTTTGTATTGACGTTTTGACTTCTTAACCGACAGTTGTTCATAAAATATTAAAATTTATATAAAACATCTGAAAGGATTTGTTTACTCCAAATGGCGGGTATACAAGTTGCCATCAATTGCAATTAATATAGATTAATTACGGTATATACAATCGTTTTACTAACACATTTATAGGGGCTTATTTCTGTAAACGTACTTTTTAATAAAAATATAGTTAATAATATTAACTACAATATTTATTTAAGGAACGCAAAGAACAGCAATTTTAGGTTTAGTTACTATAAACAGAAATTCCCGCTATTTCGCAGTTTATTTCTCAAATATAAATCAAGTTTAAGGTCAAGTCGTTCGTTAAAATTTTTTAAATATTAAATTTCAATAGGTATTTTTAGTTTATTTTAACCAACAAGCTCAAATTTCAATCGCTTGAACATATGATCTGTGTATTAAATACACAGCAGTGAAACTTGGAGTGATAACTGTTTATGTTTTTATAAATATACTTTTCCGGCTCCATTCAAAAACCAATAAAAGAAAAATTGTCTATTTATGCGTGTCACACTGGGAAAAACATCTGAAATTTATCCCTAAAAACTATTATATTGATATTTAAAAATATGTTTAATATGCAAATAATGTAAATAAAGGCATTTTATATAATAGTTAAAGATATAGTCCTATTCATATTTTAGGGTTTTGCTGGCATTATCTAAATAAAATACATAATATATGTTTAATTCATTTTGGTCACTATTAATATCATCTTGAATTTTCATAATATTTTAATAAAGAATTTTCTTTTTGAATTGAAACGTTTTTTTTAGTATATTTAAAATGCAATACGAATATAAAATTTGTTAATGTGAATGGAAAATAAGAACTTTATAAAACAAGGTGCAAAGAAATTAAGAACGCCTAACAAATAAATGACTAAAGAAATTTTTGTATTTTATATTCATTAACTGGTATTTATTAAAAACACTTTCTTTTTAAATTTTTTTTATTTGCTAGTAAATATTTCACATTTAATGCATTGTACTAAGCTAAAATAAAAAATTGCAATCTAGTACTCTACATTATTGAGTACATTGACGTGTTTTAAGAAACCTATGTTAATGATGATTTTTTTTGATATTTCTTTGACAAATAAAAAATCTATTTAATAATAATATGGATTCAAATAAAAATAAAAACTTATAACTATTAATATTTAATTTCCGAAAACAAATTTTCAACCCTGTCGAAACGCGTCTTCACTTCAGCTAGGTTTTCATTTGCATCGTTTCTGTAAAACACTTTTAGCTATGGATATTTATTATAAGTAGTATTAATAATTAATTAGATATAATAAATGTAAACGAAGGAAAAATAAAATTTTAAAATCGAAATGTATTCACAACTGTGAACGCTTCCCAAGATATGTCACGCAGAAAAGCATAACGCGTTTATAAATTTTACTCTTCAAAAAATTTCCCTAAAGGGGGCCTTATATGACAATTAATTCTTAGAGAGTAAACTCCAAAAAATTTTGCATATTCCTGATTTTTAATGAAAATATTAGTTCCGTTAATTTTATATTTATGAAAATATGAACTCATATTAGTGTGCAAGTACTAACGTTTTTATTTAAAAAATAAAACTTTTTTTTCTAGATATTAAATAAATTACCAATCGAAGATCAGGAAACCAAAGTGTATCATTATCTAAAAAATGTTCAATTGGGAGCTCCTGGTCAAAAAACCAATAATGCGAATTCTAAAGAAGGTCAAGAACAGAGCCTTAGTGTACAAATCCCGTTACAGTTATGTGAAAGTGAAGAATTTTGCTCTGAAAAACAAATATTAGGAGAATATCAAAACTTTAGTTTGCAAAATAATAATTTAAATATGCCTAAAATCAAAGTTCTACAAAATATACCAATTACAAAATGTTTAGAAAGATCAAGCGAAATACCTATTGATCTTTTTCAAGGTGACAATACTCAGATATTAAAAGCAAAATTTAGTATTAAAACAGACTATTCTCCAAATATAAAGAGTCCAGCTTTTATAGATAATAATAATAAAACCGACACATCAAGTAGCATTTTTAGTGATGCTACAGAAAGTAGTTACTATCCTGATTCATTTGCATCCAGTTATTCTCCTCAGGAAAAATTGTCGAAAGTAGGTACTCCGAAAAATGAAGACATTTTTTTGAAGACAATAGTTGAAACAAAGGTAAGTTATTTACTTTGGAAATTCCAACCCAATTTTAATCTACCTAGGAGACAAAAGTTGAACATAAGTCTGTTAAATTTAAAAACAAACATTTTCATATACAACATTTTCCTGTAGAAAATCTGCATATTTTAAAAACAAATTTTGCTATATATTTACAGAAAACGTAATATACCAGAATGCTTAATGTATTACTCGTTCTCTTGGGAAGACAAATTGAGAGACCAAAAATCAAGCATTTTTTCAAAATTCGTAAATAATGATGTCAAATTGTTTACACTTATTACAGATCATTTATAAATAGAGGGAATTTTTTTTAGTGTTTTTAACTGCTATTAATTTACACCATTAATTGTAAAGAGTTTTATAATTAGTGGATCCAAGTTATTAATTTAATTTTTTTTACATACACAATCTGGTAACAACAATAAATATAAAAGTGTTATAAATAAATTAAAACATGCTGAAAGGCATCTGTAAATTTAAATTACCTAGGTAGTTAATAGTTTTTAAGCGTATATTTTTCAAAACCTTTCTAACTACATAAATTTATAATAAAAATGTCTAAGTAGGGGAGACTGTGGAAACTTGATCGCTCTTTTTTGTAGGCTTATATCTTTTAACGTAGTTCATGGAATTAAAGGATAAAATATTTTGTATTGTATGTTAGTATTTAGTTTATTATTTTATCAAGAAGTATTTTTAATTGATCGTTTAACAAAAAGATTTTGGAAAAAAATCAGAAAAGAAAAATGGGATCAAATCTCCCATATTCCCGGAGACTTTATCCCAAGCTAATAGGAGACTTGCAAAGTTTTAGTCTGTCTTCATAAAATTATTTATTAATGAAATAGCTAACATACTTAAGTAACGTTAATTTTAATTAGGAACTTTAAACTTTTCGTGGTGTTTTTCAGTTCGTCTAAGATTGAAGAAAGTTTTACCTTTTCTAGATCGCTCTGATCCTATTCCTGACGCGAAGACCCTGCACCATGAAGATTAACTCTATTTGTCCCGTTGTTAAATAAAATTATCCATTTTCTATTGGCTGAATTTTTAGCCTCCTGAGTAACCACATGTTGTTTATCACGTCTTGAACAAGGCCTCACATTATCAGGATTCTCTCTATCTGTCACATAGGATGACGAATATAATCTTTTTCAATAAATATATTAGTATGTATTCACAGACCAGATTACCGTTACTCGAAATTTACTTAAAATATTCCTTCTTGAGAATGCTAATGGAAAAGCGCTACCGGGACACTCCGCGATTTCATAGATGGTCGGGGTTCGACCGGGATAATATGGGATCCAATTATCATAAGCTGAGTTGTAGTAACTTTTTAACGATCTGTATATTGTACGAGTACAGTTCAAAGGCTGCAATATGTTTGACGTGTGGGGTGGTAAGGTCCATAATATAATTACATTATTTTTGGCGAAATTGATTGCATCTAAACTCATTATGACTATCATGATTATCCATGATTAGAAGGCATTTACTTTCCTATAATGACGTTGCATATTCTTGGAAATGTAAATATTTTACAAAGTTTGTTGCGATCATCCATCCACTTTCATGGGTAACACCAACAGTTCCTGGTTGGCTATTGTTGATCATTCTAGCTTAGCAGTTTTTGAGGGGGAAAATCATGAACGGTGAAATATGGTTAACAATCGCGTTAATGCCACTGCATAATGTGACAGTTTCTTCTAGTTCTCCGCAAGTAACTGTTTCTATCTTCTTCTCACCTTTGGCAGAAATACTTTTTTTTAGGTTTATAGACATTAGTCAAACCCGTTTCATCAGTATATTGATTCGGGTCCTATGTCAGGATATTTTGCTAAAAATTTGGTTAGGTTTTCAAAAAATTTCATAACATTTACCTTGTCTATCCTGTCTGATAAAGTATCCACGGTCTCCTCTATTTTGGAATTATTTTTGAATTTAATTTGAACGAATTCATGGTTGACTTATATGGCTGAATTTCAATGACAAGAATTTATTTGTTACTACCTATTATTATCTAATATTGTTATTTATTCTTTTATTTTAGAAAGAATTAAGTATACCTGAAACTGCCTGTTTGCCTTTACAAAATAATTTTAATAAAAAATATTGCAATAACGGAAAAGCATTTTGTCCATTTTGTTATGAAGAAGTAGGTCATTTTGCGCGCCACCTCTTGAGAAAACATTTGGAAGAGGAAGCTGTTAAAGCTATTTCCAAATTACCAGCGCAAAGTATGGATAGAAGGCTATCAATTTTGTCTTTAAGAAAAAGGGGAAATTTTATAATAAACCAAGAAACAGACAAAAACTTTAAGCCAGTGAGGAATCCAGAAAAAAATTTGAACAGAAATAAAGAAAATAACTTTGATCGTAAAAATTACGTTCCATGTGTTTATTGCTTAGGTTATTACAAAAAAAGTTATCTCTGGAGACATAAGAAACAATACAAATCTAAAAATGAATGTGTTGAGACAAATTCAAAAATTCAACATTTAAGTGATGCTCAAACTTTCTTGATATGTACTGGTTTATTAGGAAACTTTTTGGAAAAAAGTCGGCTAAAACAGGAAGTTTTAAATATAATGAGACCGGATGATATTAGTTTTACAGCTAAGCAGGATCCGTTAATATGTTTTTATGGAGAATCCTTATTAAATAAACATAAGAGAAAGCAAATGAATGTAGTGGTTTCTTCTAAGATGCGCGAAATGGGAAGATTTAAACTTGCCTTGCAAAAATCAGGCACAATATCTACGCTAATAGAGGCATTGAAACCGGAAATGTACAATCACATTGTTGCCGCAGCTAAACTTATATCTGGTTATAACCCACTTAACAAAACTTTTAAATCATCTTCTCTGGCTCTTCACTTAGGAACAAGTCTAAAATTTTTATGTGATGTTGCCAGAAAAGCTATAGTAGTTAAAGAGCCTTTGTTTTTAATAGAAGATACTGCATTACGGACAGAAAAGCAAAAAGAAATATTAGAACTTCGTGAAATGATTGCAACTCACTGGTGTAATGATATATCTAGTTTAGCCAATAAGGTATTGAACCAAGCAAAGTGGGAAAAACCAAAGTTACTACCCGTAACAGAAGATATAATTATATTTAAAAATTACGTAATGGCAATTGCAAATAAGTCATACCAGAACCTTGTGGAAAATTCTAATAGTATACAAAACTTCAAGTTATTAGCGGAATGTACTTTATGTATAGTACTGGTGTTTAATAGGAAAAGGGTGGGAGAAGTTCAGTATTTAAGTATTGAAAGTTACGAAAGAAACGTCTCATCTGCAATTCAAGAAGAAAGCCAAAAAGCTCTTTCAGAGTTTGAAAAGACAATGTGCTCCTATTTTAAAAGAGTGGTTGTGTCTGGAAAAGGAAGTAAACCGGTCCCAATATTGTTAACAAAACAGATGCAAACTTTTATTGATCTTCTGCTTAAAATACGGAGGACAACAGAAATCATTCCAAAAACGAATAAATATGTTTTTGCTTATCCTGGCTCAAACGATAGATGGATAAGTGCTGCACCTCTTTTAAGAAAATTTTCACAGAAATGTGGTGCAAAAAATCCAGAACTGTTAACAAGTACCAGGTTCCGAAAACAAATAGCAACCATTTTACAGTTAACCAGTTTTGAAAATGATGAAATGGATCAAATTGCTCGATTTATGGGCCACACCCAAAAAACCCATTTAGAATTTTATAGGTAAGTTATAATACTACACAATTTGAACTGTAAAAAAATAAGTTGGGAACAACCATATTTTACGAATAATTGAAATTAACAATTTTATGAATAAATCTACCGTTCCATAAACCTTTTAAATTTAAAAACTTGCATCAAATATTTTTCAATTTTAAAAATAGTAAAATTAGTATAAAAATATTTAAATTATGAATCTAACGTTTGAAATTAAAAAAAAATGTCGCTGTTGTGCATTTAAATTTCCGAATAATAATTTATTCCTGAAACATATCTATTTCAAATTTTAAAAATGTTTTACTATAATGAATTTATTAACTCCATAGTTTGTTTAAACCAACTGCAAATGAAAGCTTTTACGAGGCGCTCTCATTTGACGTTTACAACGTTCTACCCAATCAAAAAAATAAGCAAAATTAATTAACTAATGTTATATTTTAGGTTAACAGAAGACGTATATCAAACAGCTAAAGTGGCAAAAGTTCTTTTACTTTTGAATGCTGGAAAAGGAAGCGAGCTTAAGGGAAAGAATTTAAAAGAAATAGAAATTACAAAAGATATTTTACTTTTGGAAGAAAATAAAGAAAACGATTTAAACAATAAAAATAAACAAAATACTGAAAACGAGGTCGAAGCAGAAGTGATAAATGTAGATAAATCTAATCAAACGGGTAAAATTTATGAAATAAAAAAAAAATTACAAAAATGTTACAAACGACAAAGGGAGAATACTGACCTTATTACTGAGAATGAGCCTTTGCATAAAAAAATATCTCGCGAAAAATGGACAGAAAAAAACAAAAAACTTGTGTTAACTTTTTTTGCTACACATGTAATAAACAAAAAGGCGCCAAAAAAACAGGAATGTATGGCTTTCATAAATTTAAATTTAAATTTATTTGAAGAAAAGGACTGGATCAGAATTAAAACTTTAGTTTATAACACCTATCGTTTAAAATAATTTTTTAACTTTTATTGTTCATTGTGATGCAATTTGTATAAAACTAATATTTTATAATTTCACTACATTTTGTTTTATATAAAATGTTGGTTTTATTAAATATTTAAATCTTGTTTTGTCTTAAGTGAATGTCGACAATTTAAAAATAAATAAATTTAAAAAAATTCCTAGTTATTATTACACACCTGCCATGTCATGATAGTTTACATTTAGGATAATAATTTTACTACATTTTATTTAAGTAATTTGTATTCCATACGCAAAATTATAAAATACTAATAGATATTTAATGATTCAAATAAATATATTTGAAAGATTTTGCTCCAATGGAAAAACAGCAGTAAAATAGTATCATAAATGGATACCTATCATATAAAAATTAAAGCAAATTAAATAAGCATTTTAAATAAGCCTGAACTTATATCACCACCGACACCAGAGAACTATTTAAATATATTAAAAAAAAATATAAAATTAAACACAGAATCGTTTTCCAAATTAACTCTAACTGAGGAAGGAACGATAGTTATCAAAGAAGATTATTAAGATTGGGTGAAAGTTTTATTGTAACGCTTTCGCTTTTGCTGTCAAACCCCCTTCCTTCCTTATGAGCACTGATGGTGATTTCTTATAAGGGCTGACGGCTTTTTCAAGCTTACTGCGAACTTACTATATTTATGCGCACTCTGGGTAATGAAGGTGCCCATAAAAGTAGCCTAATAATTACACGGGTGTCTTACACGTGTGTTAAGCGACTTTTTCCCGTTATCATCTGATCTCTTAACGTAATGTTAACAGAGTAGTGTAAAAGCGAAGATCCTCGAGCTTGCATCTTGGTCAGCGTCCAAGTTGCAGGAAGATCGGGGTGGCCTCTCCCGTGGCCTTTTTTGTTTTTATAATTTTTTTTGTGAATTTTTGTGTTTTTTAATTTTTTTTGGATTTTGTGTTTTTTTTTTTTAATTTTTTTGTGGTTTTTTGTGTAAGTAAAATTTTGTGGGAGATTTGTTAGTACCTAAAGCTTATTGTAACAAAAAAGGCCATTGCTTTTTATAATGAGAATAAGTTCAACAAAAGACAACCCCGAGGAAGAAGCTATAAAATCGACTTTTACGTTAAAGGCTTCCTTTTTAACATGTTTTAGATTTATCTTACCCTTACCTATAAAGCGATCAATAAAAAACATATTTTCCTGATTACAAACCAAAATCAAAGATAACCCAAAATCTTAAAAAATTTGAGACATACTAAATCTATCGTAACATAACAAACATTAGAGTACCCAAGTGATGGATAAAGGTTCCGTCGTCTCCCAACAGTCGCAAAATTACTTCTATTAAGTATTTTCCTATCTTTTCCCCTTTTTTATTATTAAGAGAATATAGCGGCTAATTTCGGATATTTTTATCAAATGTACTGTGTCATTAGAAAAAAACCTCAAATATTTCCATAATCCATACCGCAAAACTGTTGAAATCTACCAAATGTAGCCTCCAAAAGAACAACAGCCCGGAAGGACATTTACAAGAGCCTGTGGCGACGCTGCCTTAATTTTTATTTTAAATAATTTAATTGTTCTTCGTCTGCCTTCAATCACAAATATTAAAGCTGTTGATGTAAAATTCTCGTTGGCAACTTTAATGACCACAATACAATATAGAGAACTTCTAAAAAGTGATAGAGAACTTCTAAAAGAATTATAATTTTATATGCCTACTAAATAATTACAGCAACACCCATTTAAAGTAACAGAATTGTTACCGGTCCCAAGCCCGGATAAAGGAGGAGGGGGTTTACAGCCAGGTTAGCACTATACTGATAGATATTAAACCCATACAGCTCATAGAAACAGGATTATGCCTCGGAACAGGAATGATTTAACGACGACGACCAACGCGAGAAAAAGGACAACGAATTTATGAAAAACTTCGAAAAAAACTATATACTTCGAATCGGTAATTTGAAAGTAAAATCTCTTAAACACTCGAGAACAAGAAATTACGAAAGTGCTTATAGAAAAAAATATAGATATGTGTGCACTACAAGAAACCAAGATAAAACCAAAGGATTAAATCATGCTGGATGGGTTTCTCATGATTTATAGTGGTGTAGTGAGAGAAACGACAGCCAAAGAAGGAGTCGCCCTGTTAATACATAGAAAATTTTTACACCATGTACATGAACGTAAATAAGTCTTCGAACGAATAGTAGCAGTAAAAATTAGACTAGAAGACAAACCTCTGAATATAATAGCCATGTATGCATCTGAGAACAACAGAGATTAAACTACAAGAGAAAATTTCTTTGAACACTCAATTAAATTCTCATTAATGTTTTTGATCGTAAACTAACGTAGAAATCAATTATACAATACCTGAAGAAATCCTGCCAACCTAGGGTAAATTTACTACGATCACTTGCTTTTAAGAACTGAGGAGTCGACTACTCATGCTTACTTCACATATACAGAGCTATAATTCACTCAAAATTAGATTACGGGTCTACTGTATACAACTTGGCCAAAAAAACACTTCTTAAAACTTTAGATACTATTCACAATATAGCTATTTGAATTTCTCTTGGGGCCTACCATTCTAGCCCGATTTAAAGCCTTTGTTGTGAATCTGGAGAACTCCCTATCTCCCACAGAAGGCAATACCTAAGTCTATGTTATGCCGCTGCAGTTTCGGCAAACCAAAAGAAACTTGTAATTTACGATGTATTTGCTGACCGCTTCTCAACTAAATTTGATTCAACTTTTCGAACAGATCCTCCCTTTTATCACAGTATAAAAACATTAAGTCAACAACAATTTTCAATTCCCAAACAACTTTTACCTATCCTTCACTCCCATCCCGTCACCTTGGACAATACCTCTACCTAAATCCGATCTTATCCTAGCACAATTCAACAAAGCAGAAACCTTAACAACTATCATACAACAAGAATTCCATCGTATAATAAATGCAAATAGTGATGTGAATGAAATTTATACCTACACTTTAGAAAACGACGAAGGAATAGGAACTGCTGTGTACTCAAAACAATTCTCAGCCTCTTTTAAATTACCAGACATCACCACTATTTTCTTTGCTGAATTATTTGCCATCTTACAAGCTATTATTCACATACATTAGGAAAATAAGCAAAAAAGGATAATAATTAGTGACTCTCTTAGTTCGCTTAATGCCATACAATAGCTTTGTTGCAACTATCCCTTTCTAGTTCTTATTAAAATATAGCTTAAAAGAATCCTAGACGAAAACACAGAGTTGAAATTTTTGTTGGTCCCGTCACATAAAGGAAAAAAAAGGAAAAAAGGAAACGAAAATGTTGACGGGCCAGTTAAAAATGCTACAAGTAATCCAAAATCGAGAATATTTAATATTACGATACACACAGATAAAAACTCATTTCAAACAAGATTACAAGAACTTGGCAAGACAAATGAAAAGTACCCCAAGTAAATTACTAGGAATCAACTAAAGTGGACAACCATGGAAATCAAAATCAAGGAAGTGAAGAGAACAAGTGATAGTGACACGTTTGTGTATCGGAGATACGAAAATCACACACGAATGCTTGCTGAAGAGAAGAAACAAGCCAATTTGTGAAATTTGCAACTCTGACTTATCTATAAAACACGATAAATATAAAAGTGAACGAAAGAAACATTTCAGAAACAAACAAAAAGACAAACAAACAAACAGAGACCTCCAAAAACTGTTTAATTCCCTAAAGGACATCAATTTACTAAACGAAATTTAATTATTTATATTATTACTGAAACCTACATGTAAAACTATTAATTGTATAAACCTATTGTAACGCTAATAACCCTGAGAGGTTGATGCGTTTTTTTTGTCTTCCTAAATAAATAAGTCTTATAAATTAAAAATAAAAAGTATATGCCAGCAAGTAAGTATGTTATATAATTACTTTATCTAATCGTTTCGAATGTGCCTATAATAATCGTTTTAACAACGTAGGATCTAAAAACGTGTCGGTAGTCTGTAGTATGTACGGATGAGTAATGATTTGATATTTGATACCTTTAAAAATATTAAATAACAGTAACTACTAACATACAGCGTTGCCATTTTTTGGGTCTGAGAAAGTCTTAGCGGTTGTAAGAAGCAATTTAAATTATATACGATATACAGAAATGAACTGCGCTCCCTCTTCACAATTATCATTTGAACTAAAACTGTGTATAATGTGGTGTGTAACCGTCATACCAGCCCCAAATAAAATTCTCTAAAAATTTAGTGGCATGTACGGGGATGCATATGATATGTAAATAACGAAGAAAACGTTGCCAGACCTTTTTGCGGGTCTGGTAACGTCAATTTTGGACTGGTTACGTCGGTATACCTATGCGTTTCGGGTCTGTATAATCGGTTGAATATATATATATATATATATATATATATATATATATATAATATAAATAATATATAAATAATATAAACAATATCAATGTCAATAATATGTTTTATTAAAAAACGAAGTAACAAAAATACTTAATCTTCATCGTTAATAAACTCTTCTTCTTGATGTATAGTGCATCTTATTGTTCTGGTGCTTGTGTAAAATCCCTGACGTATTGGAGTTATAAATGAAAAGAATTCCAAAAGATCTTTTTCTTTTCTTCTTGTATCTTGTTTCATACCACATCTAGCACGGTCTGCTTTTCGTTGGTGAATCTCTAGTGTTACTTCAAATTTACGTTTTTCTGCTTAAACTGTTAAGAAGGTTATTTTATTGTTATACAAATCACATTTTTTTTCACGAATCTGTAGGTAGGTACCGTATACCATAGCACATCTCCAAGCGCAAAGGGAGTATACGATTAAAAAGAAAGGTACTGAACTAAACAGTCTAATTTCTACCTTAACGCAAACGTCTATTCACTGGAAGGTTGGATTGTGTAATACGTACCTTTGATTAGCAGTTAAAACCGGTCTATCCTACAAAGAGGATGGTTATCCCACTCTTTCATT